TGCCACATTCACTCTCTTCTATGATTTTAAGTCCTTACTAACTAACATTCACACTCTGGTGGAGCAACTTAGACATATTTTAAGATGCAGACTAGGGGAATCGAACCACCGGCCTTTCGACCAGTAGAGGACCTGCTCAACCTCATGAGCTACAGCCGCCCCAGCTTACCACAGAGTCAAAGTAACGAACAGTGTGTGGCTGGTGCTCAGTGGCTGTGCTGCTCATGGTCAGGCTACATAACAGGCTTTTCCCTCCTCACCGTCTTCATACAGTCTAATATAAATACAGCATGAACAGTGCAGAGGACAAACACCAGGACAACTCATAAAACATCTGCTCGAATTCAGGTGTTTAAATCCACAAAGAGCAGAGACCAGCTGATCACAGCCTGTAGACTAGGACCGGAGCTCTCAGTAGAAATTATTGTGCGCTGTGTCCTCACACTGAGCCACTGCTCAATCCCACTTCAGCCACTTCCCTGCTCATTTTCCTGTTGGAGGCAAAGTCAGCCTTTAAAATGTAACAGAAAATAAAGCTGCTTATTATCCCCCCTCTTTCTCTCTGATCAGGTTCTATTTCACTGCTTCAACCTGGTTCAGAGTTCAATCACAATGAAAGAGTAGACTAACATAATTTTGTTTTTCTATCTACTAATATTACTTCATTGTGATTAATATAACACTAAGTTAGTAGTAGGTGGTAGAAGTGTACTTTGTACTTTTACTTGAGTAAAGAAGTTGTTTAAGTATTTTATCTTTTACTGGAGTATTTTTTAACACAGCTCAGCTGTACTCGCCACCTTTGCTCGGCACCATTGTTTGTGGAAGAATCAATACAGAGAGGATCTCCCAGTCTTCTTTTGAAAGTAATTCATCACGTTTGAAACACTGAGTTTCCTCAGCTCTGTGATGTCTTGAATAAAATCTCATTCCCCCTGTAAGGAAGAGGACTCCCTTACTGCATTTATTTATATTATATGTATAGCACTTTAGAGCACACCTTTCACTTTATTAAAAGCACCTTATCAAGCACTTTATGAGCATTGCACTTTAAGCATGGATTTGCACACAAGAAGTTTAAATATTTATTGACTATTTATTGGGAATTTTAAAATCAGTTG